TTCTTACTGTTCTTGATGATTTTAGTAGATTTGTTTGGGTAATCTTGTTAAAATCCAAGGCAGAGGTGTCTGACCATGTTAAAAATTTTATTATTCTTATTGAGAATCAGTTTCATACCTGTCCCAAGTACATCAGGTCTGATAATGGACCTGAATTCTCTCTCCCTCAATTTTATGCATCCAAGGGCATTATTCACCATAAGTCATGTGTAGAGACACCTCAACAAAATGGTAGGGTAGAAAGAAAACATCAGCATCTCTTGAATGTAGGTAGAGCCCTATTATATCAATCAAACTTACCAAAATCCTTCTGGTCATATGCAGTCCCTTATGCTGCTTTCATCATTAACAGAGTCACATCCAATTTACTTCAACAAAAATCACCATATCAGCTATTGCATGACAATGTACCTGACATTAGTCATATTAAAGTATTTGGTTCTCTTTGCTATGCTTCTACTCTTACTTCTCATAGAACCAAATTAGAAACCAGAGCTAGAAAGGCAGTCTTTTTAGGCTACCCTGTTGGATATAAAGGCTGTTTACTTCTAGATCTCAATAATAGTGACATTTTCATATCTAGGAACATTACACATCATGAGCATATTCTGCCTTACAATACTTCTTCTGAATCTCTTAGTAATTCATGGGAGTATTTCAGTACACAGTCCTTACAATCATCATCACCAGTTACTAGCTCTACTCATCCTAATGTATTTGATATTGCTGACATTTCTGATAATGTGTTTAATACATCAGCTGACCCTGCACACAATGACACGAGTATTGACAATAATGATCTTGTGCAACCTGAATTGTCTAATCATGCACATGTTGATACTCTAGTTCCAGCACAAACCAATCCTCACGATATACCTACACTAAACACATCAGTACCTACTTCTCTCTCCACTCAACCCACCAATCAAATTCTCCCCACAAGGGTTTCTTCCAGAACAAGGCACCAACCATCTCACCTCAGAGACTATGTTTGTGCTTCCTTCAACAGCAATGACTACCCCATCACTTCATCCTCAGGTATTGCTTATCCCATTTCTAATTCTGTTTCTTATTCTCATTTGTCTCCTTCCCATTCTCGATTCACATTATCTATCACCACTCAAACTGAACCTAAAACATATGCTGAGGCTTGTAAATCTGCAAGTTGGATTCAAGCTATGAAATCTGAGATTACTGCTCTTGAAGATACTGGCACATGGCAAATAGTGGATCTTCCACCAAATGTTAAGCCTATAGGTTGCAGATGGGTCTACAAAATAAAGTATAAGTCTGATGGAAGCATAGAGAGATTCAAAGCTCGACTTGTAGCTAAAGGCTACAACCAGATTGAAGGCTTGGATTATTCTGATACATTCTCACCAGTTGCTAAACTCACAACAATTCGCCTTGTTTTGGCTTTAGCTTCTATTCATAACTGGCACTTACATCAGTTAGATGTGAACAATGCCTTTTTACATGGCACACTTCATGAAGATGTATATATGGTAATACCACCTGGTGTGAACACCACCAAATCCAACCAAGTCTGCAAATTGGTTAAGTCTCTCTATGGCCTGAAACAAGCAAGTAGGCAATGGTATGAGAGACTAACCTCACTGCTTATTCAACATGGCTACAAACAGGCAACATCAGATCACTCACTATTTGTTAAAAGTACTTCTTCTTCATTTACAATTATACTTGTATATGTTGATGATGTGCTTCTAGCAGGTAATTCCTTGGCAGAATTCCAACATATGAAGACTGTGCTTGATGTGGCTTTCAAAATCAAGGATTTAGGAAGACTCAAATACTTCCTTGGTTTGGAAATTGCTCACTCTTCCAAGGGCATCTCTATTTGTCAGAGAAAATACTGTCTTGATCTTCTTTCTGATACAGGTTTTCTTGGTTCCAAACCAAGTAACACTCCATCAGATCCTGCCATCAAATTGCATAATGATATTGGACCAGTCTTTGATGACGTCCCAGCTTATCGGAGGTTAATTGGGAGACTCATCTATCTCAACACAACCAGACCTGACATCACATTCATCACCCAGCAACTGAGCCAGTTTTTGTCCAAGCCCTCCATGATTCATTACAATGCTGCTTGCAGAGTCTTGCGCTACCTCAAGAAGTCACCAGGACAAGGACTTTTCTTCCCAAGGGATTCACACATTCATCTCATTGGTTTTTCTGATGCAGATTGGGCAGGTTGTATTGATACACGAAAGTCAGTGTCAGGATCCTGTTTTTATATTGGCAAGTCACTCATTTCATGGCGGACCAAGAAGCAAAACACAGTTTCACGATCTTCATCTGAAGCTGAATACCGTGCTCTTGCTTCAGCTACGTGTGAGCTTCAGTGGCTGCTGTATCTTCTTAAAGACCTCTCTATCACTTGTACCAAACTTCCAGTTTTATTCTGTGATAGCCAGAGTGCTCTTCATATTGCAGCTAATCCGGTTTTCCACGAGAGAACAAAACACCTCGAGATTGACTGTCACATTGTTCGTGAAAGGTTCTTGGCAGGCACTATGAAGCTTATTCCTGTCTCCTCAAGCAATCAACATGCTGATTTCTTCACCAAATCACTACTTCCTAAACCTTTTTATGAGCTCATGTCCAAGTTGAACTTGTTAGATATCTACCACAGTTCAACTTGAGGGAGGATCTCAACTACCTAGGCTGTTAGTTATGCAGTTAGTAATTCTGCAGTTAGGTAGTTAGCAGCAGTTATACTAGCTGTTAGTTATGCAGTTAGTTATTCTACAGTTAGGATGTTAGTGGTTGTTAGAAGTTAGTTACATATATAGCTTGCAATAGAATGCTAGCATATATAGCTGTGTAATGCATAAGCTTGAACATATGAAATAAAATGCTTCTTCCTTTCTCTCTTTTCTCTATTGAATTGAGTATGAGTTCTCAATCATAATAATTGCATTCGATTCAGTGAAGATAGAGTTTAGATTCAGAATCAGCATGCATAAATGATTAAATTAGTGTGCTCATGAAATTTTTTGATGGAGATTCATCAACTCCGGCCAACTGAGGCACTATAAAAGATGACCGAAAGTTCTTTACACCGAAGAATTGTCTCTTTCCAATTTCATCGTAGCACTAGGTACGTCTCAATAATATTGGATCGTGTTAACCCCTGCTAACCAATCAGAATGCACTCATTTTTATTTATTTTCTGGCATTTTCAATTTGAATAATTGTATAATGAGGAATGCTAATTTTTGATTGGTTATAACCTTCTTATATCTGGTAATAACTTAATTTAAGATGGACCAATTGATTAATATTTGGGATACATACATAAAAACATGGCATTGGGTTGAATTTGAATAGTAGTAAAATCTGGAGATTTACTTTTTTTTGTTTGGACAGACGAGCTTAGGCACAATTTAGGACTGGGCTTAACGACTCAACTATTCACACCTCCACGCCTTTTGGGCCTAACGCACCATTAGGCTCAATTCAATTCAAATAGAAAAATCAGTTATACACCCTGAGTTTTATCTGCGCATAATTTTTTATATTTATGCAATCTTGCTTGTAATTTCCATTTTCATGACTTATAAAAAAATGTATAGAAAAAATACATTCCTACCTCTTTAGTGTCTTCGGAATTTTATCACGATTTTTTTTAATTTTTTATAATTGGATTTCATTTTCTTTTAATTGATTTTTTATCAATATGTTTAGAGGTGACGTTCATAGGATATCCCATAAATTTTGAGGTCTTGTTACACCTTTACTTTATTTTTCTTTTGTGGTCACACAAAAATGAATAATTGTCCACTTGTTTACCTAGTTAAGAGTTGATCTTTAGTATAGGATTCTTAATGCCTTGACTAATGTCCAATTGACTTATTGATTAATATGATCACATGATTAGGTAACTTTTACCTTGATGTTAGGTCCATAATTGAGTCATATGCTTAGTCTATCATGATGCTTGACCTCTAGGTTATCAATCGGATGTTTTAACCTAATTTTAGCACATAGTTTGCTTCAATCATGATATTTCTGGTGATTTTTTGTTTGAGATCAATGGTTATAAGGTAGATACTGACTTGTAAAGTGTCATATATCATACCCCAAATTTTCCCTACCCTTATACTATGTTTAGGTTTCTAATTCAATAAATCACATGATCTGGTTTTTATTTCCATGGGGGTGTATAACATGGAAGAAGGAATGTTGGATTTAGAATGGACCATTAATATCTTATGGCCCATTAGATTTTTAAAGGGAGGGTCTGTTTCAAGTTAAAAGAAGAATGCATTTTGTTTGGTCAAGGAGGTGGGCGATCCATTTCTCTTGATTAAGGCCCATTTAGGTTTTTTGTGTTAAAAGCAATCTAGTTTTTGTTAAGATACATAACAAACTATTTGTGAGGGCCCAATAAAGTGTTTGTGAGGGCCCATTTCATTTTTATTGTTTTACTAACATCATTAATAAAATTATCATTATTAACATTATAATTATTTTGTTTTAGTTAATTATACTGATACTTATTATTATTATTATAATTAATTATCATCTTTTAAAGCTTAGTTAAAAATGGTTTTTTTGTCTTTTGCTAAAAGGGAAAAACGTGGGAAGTCGATCCACTCTTTTCTTTTACATTCCGTTCCCACAACCCAATACTAACTGGCCCGGTTCAGTTGAAAGAAAAGCTTTGTTTCAAAAAGACAAAAATTGTATGAACTGAACAAAGTTCAAACACACTACAAGTCCAATTGAACAAAAAAACACGTTTTTTATGTTCTAACAACTACTGTTCGGATCATAAATGCATTAACATGAATAATATAAAAAAAGAATCAGCACGAAATCAAGCAATAATCCTCGCGTTAAATTTTCCAGAACAGGATCAACTCAAAACAGAAACAATGTTTATTGGCATTCAAAGTTTTAATCAAATTCAGATTATTATAGAATCAAAATTACAATAAACAAACTTAATTTCATTTCTTAATTCATAATCCCTAAAAGCTATAAAATCCAAAACGAATTACAGAAGAATGGGGTGGAAATCTAAAACGAAAAAGAAAAAAACAAACTGCAAAAAAGGAAGAAATTAAGGTATAGGGACGAGGAGAAACTAGTACACAGATTACAGAAGGGGAGATATGGAGGAGAATCAACAGAAAAATCAGTACAGATCCGAGACACTCTGCTGTCCTTATCATCCAATCCCGTTGTTGCACCTCTGTCGTCCTCTATCTCCGACATCTCTCGATTTTCTTATAGTAATTTCGCAACACCTCTGCCTTTGCAAGTTATGATCCGACCGTGCCTACCAGTCAGCAACTGGGTGTCTGTCCTCTCCTCAAATCCACACCACACATATAGATACACAGAAGAAATCAAATAAGAGGTAAACATATAAACAAAAAATGCATAAAATCTAAGAAGAAGAGAAAGAGAGTCCGAAGAAGGATATTTAGCGAAGAACAGACGTACCTTTTCTTCCTCGCTGTTTTTCTTGCTTTACATGTTATAATCTGTGTAATTTATGAACATTTACAAATAAAGCAAAGAGTTTGATTGGGGTATGGGATTTGTCGGGGATTAGGCTTCACTATTTTTTTTTGTTAATTTTTTTGTTTTGTTCGGTTGATATTGAGTGAAAACATGTGAGGAATCAGTGTAGACAAGAGAGAGTGCTTGGAACAATAAAGAAGGAGGCATGAGGAGTTATAGGGTTTCCTTTGGGGAAACCCGATTTTACATAGCTTGAAGGGTGGTTTGGGTTCCCTCAAACCGGATCCAACCTATTTAATTTCTTTTCTTTTTCTTTTTTTTAGTTGTCATATTCTTTTGGGCCTCATATCCCTTGATTCGGATTTCCAAACCTCGAGGCCCAATCATTATCTACACTTCCTTCAATTTTGTTTTACAAACATATGCAACTTCGCACCCCCTTAGCCATTGGGCCTGAATTCAAAATCTGAATTCAGGCCCCTTATATTGACACCCCTCCTATTTTTTCTACTTTAACTATATTTCCACCCCACATTTTTAATTTATTTTTCTTTTATTATTTTATTATAATTCATACTTTTATGTTTTATAGTTATATTTGAATAGTATATTTATTATTTATTATTTATTATAATTCGAATTAATTATTCTCAACTCATAAGTAAAAAATATATTTTTATTATCACATTAAATTGTTCTTTCAATCATGCACTTAAAAATATTTTTCACAATATAATTTAATTTAATATTTTATATCAAAATATTAAAACCCGCGCAATTCATCAAATTACTACATCCGCGAGCGACATGTGGCCAATATTGGCCACGTGATGAGGAGACTACATCAAAATCCCTTGCTTTATATCTTCATACAACTAATCAACCTCAAAACAAATTTTTTACTAACATAATCAAATTTATATTTATTTTCAAAAGGGTTGTATTAATATCTTTTATCAACTACGAACTACAAAATGGGATTCGGATTCCTCCTAAGAGGATACGTAGGCATACGATCAAAAATCGTGGTGATTTCCCCTAACTAAAATTAAAACTTTTTTCCCTTAATAAAACACTAAAACCGTATTTCCTAAAAATTACACTTCTAAACCTAGTATCCTTGTGAACAAGGTAGATGAAGGGTGCCTAATACCTTCCTCTCGTCTAGAATCGAGTCAATAATCTAGAATCTATGATTTTTTTAGGGTTATCCTTTATACTCCCTTCCTTAAGATAAAAATTAAGGGTGGTGACTCTGAATTTAAAACCAGCTGCAACAGCTGACGACTCTACTAGGGACTCAACCCTAGGTTTTAAAGCCTCTCCTTTAGGTTTTAGGGTTTTTCTTATTTTTTGGTTTTATTCTATCTTATTTATTTATTTATTTGTTTCTTGCTTATTTTGTTTTTATTATTTATCATGTTTATTCATTTGTGGTGGGATTTAGAATTTTTCATAAAACTATTTTCAAAAACCCTTAGAAAGAAGGTTCGTCTATTAGCCAAGGGGTTACATCAATCCTATGAGTTCATGTGACGACTTCGCCTAGAGTCAGTGGAATTCTGCAAAAGGAACACCTCTCTAGAGACATCCTCTTGGGAAGTAGGACTTTGTAATGACACTTATGACTCTTTGTACGACCATTAAACCAAAAACTCATGATGAGGCCTTTCACGACCTAGAGATGAAAGTTTCGGTCTATAAAAAGACCCCGCTTAAGGGAGGCCCTTATGCCTTCCCCTCTAGTGTTATTCACGATACCCTTAAGGAAGTCACTTTATGGGGAGGTTAGAATATTTGTAGGCCAAAACTAGGAACCTACCTTCTAAGGATACCTTTCATAAATCCCACTATAATTTGTAAACCCGTAAGGTTATCTTTTCTTTTACTACTATCTCTAGCCCATAGGGCTTCCGTCTATGTCGTAATCCCTATCCTCTAGGGACTCCTCGACGTCTTTCATCAGCCATAATCCTCTAGGAGTTACTACATGTCTCAATCTTTGAGACAATATAGGATATCATCAAATCCATGTCTATTATTATCTTCGTTCTTAAGGAGTTTTTGCATGTCTCAATTTTAGATTCAGTGTTGGGTATCATCATGTCTATCATTAAACTTGTATAGGGTACCCCTACGTCTACCCTCATACTGTGTCTACATCGCATTGCGTATCCATGAAATTTCTTTCGCGTACCTAAAAGCCAAAAAACATACTTTCGCATACTGTACTACAGTGGGAGAAATGACTTGGATGTTTTGCGGTTTATCATAATTGTTATGGATAGCAAGAGTCGCCGCCGACTTTTCTTTTATCCAATAAAGGAAAGGGTGAAAAGAACAGGAAAGACCTTTGAGAAATTTTCTTGAGTTCGGGGGGTAGGTTATGAAAAGGGAAGGTGTTAGCACCCTTTTCATCCGTAGTTATATATGGGCTCTTAGTTGCTTGCTAGATCACTTTTGAAATTGCTTTGTTTGAAATGTGTTTGTGGTGGATTTACAAGTACTTTTGAAAAGCTCCTTTGTTTAGGAAAACTTTGTAATGATTCTCGTCTCTATAAGAATGCATACAAAGTGTTGGACTTTTGAAAATATTTCATGTTTTTGAAAGTGTTTGGTGTATTTGAAAAGATGTTTATTTTTGAAGATGGATTGTGAGAAAGAAACTAAGAACGTTCTACCTACTCAAAAGTCTTTTGTTCATTTCTCCCTTCCTTTGATATTGTTATCTCACCATTGAATGACAATTAACCATATATTTGGATGTAAAGGAATGGTCGTAGGTCATCGTATAGTCATAGATAACAATATTGTGAGATATCTTAGCATTTATCTTAAGGGACTAATATCATTTGTAAGGCAACATTCGTAGCGTCACCTAGAGACTATGATCTTGTATTTTTTATTATTTTTGCTAAGATGTCTCACATGCATATCATGACCTTTTATTTCTTAAGGCAACAAGTGAAGTTAACCCTCGAGGTGTAAGTGTGCAAGTGTTTTGATTTCATGCATTGTTTTGTCTTAAATTAGGGTTTTCTAATGTCGATTTTATCTCTCCACACAAACCCTAATTACTAACATTATATGAAAGTGATAAATTACGGAAAATAAATTCTATGCTATTACATCATTTGGGGATGGGGTATACATATTTACAAATGGGGATTGCAAGAAATTAAATCCTAATTATCTATTACAACCATATTGAATTTGAATAAATGCACAAGAAATGAAATGAATATAATGTACATGTATGAATGGATAAGGAATAAATTTTATTTGGATTTCTGTTAAGAAAAATAGTTATGACCTAATAAATTTAAAAGAAAAATAATTAACTAAAATAAGAAAATTAAAATCAAGTTAGTAAAATAAATTAATTTATTAAATAAAAACAAGTTTTTTAGGGTTTTGTTTGTGGAAAAAATTTAATTAAATTAAACTATTATAAAAATTTATTAATTAAAAGAAAACTTAAGTTCTAAGGGAACTTTTAATTAAGAGAAAATAAATTAAACTTAAGTCTAATTACTAATTTATTTAATAAAAGAATTAAATGTGTTTAAGAAAATATTTTTTGACTTCTTTAGTCTAAAAGAAATAAGATAAAAAATTGCTAAATACCTAAATAAATAAATAAATGAAAATACTTTTTGGTATTTTTTTGTTAGTAAAAAAAAAATAATAGTAACATTAATAATAATAAAATAAATAAAATGAAAATAAAATAAATAAAATAAGTCAGGAGGGGTGAAAGTTGAATTTGAAGTGTTTTTGTGTAGAAAACAGTTTTTGTTTGGCCTGGCCCATTAGCATTTTTGTCATCAGAAAGTAAAATATAAAAAAACAAATGTGTTGCGCTGTAAACCTTCAAAGAGGGGGGTTAGGAGAAGTAAAAATATAAAGGCCCAATTGTGGAGGCCCAAGGCGCGCTGGCTTGTTCAAACAAAGAAAAGATGGAAAATGTTAGAAAAAGGCAAAATGGCAGCGCTGGGGCTCGAACCCACGCCCTTTGCATAATACACGTGCTGTCTTACCACGGCGGTGGCTATACATCCGGTATATGAAACAAAACAATAAATATATAATACAAAATGCTTCCATGGCCTGAACTTCATCTTCAACCTCACGCCAGCCAGACCATCTGTTTCTTTCTCATTTCTCAACGAAAATTAAAATTACAAACATGAAAGTTGTTCCATTTGTCCTAATGATTCCAGAAATGTAAACCACTTAAGCTATAAATCAAAGATAAGCAATAATTTTGTTGGCCCTAATCTGAACCCTAATTTTTCCAGAAATTTCAATCTAAAATTTCTCCTTACTTAGTCAATATAAATGAAAACTATAGACATCTACAGTTTCATGGCAATGATATCTATATTTTGTCTTTGAAAATGGAAGTCTAAAAATGCCTAAATGAAGAGATGAAAGTTCATAAAAATACCTTAAAAACTGGAAATCGTGAAATTAGTTTGAGCTTGTTTTAAGTGATGGTGATGATCAGGTTAGCTTCCTTGAACCTCCAGGAAGATATTCCAATGGTTACTTTGAGCTGAGAGTTCTTGAATTAAGCTAGAGAAGTCAAGATGCAAAGCTCTGTTTTTGAAAATAGAGGATGATGAAGATGGAGTTACAGAAGTGTAACAGGGTGTGGGATTGTTTATGGATGATGTTTAGAAGCTTTTGGAAGCAAAAGGCC